GGTCAGAGCAGTCAGTGGTGGTAGCCAGGCACCATCTAGCTGTACTGGACTCAGTCCAGTGGAGGCCTCGGTAGCTGTGGACAGTTAGTCCTTTGGACTAATCTTTAGAAAGGAAAACAATTTATTTTTTTAAAAAATTAGCTTTATTGAAATATGCTGCTAATTTCTGAAATTAAATTTTGATAATACACTCTATATTAAAATTCAATGTTCTTATGAAAAAAACCTACTGATTTAAAAATTCTTATACAGAGGCAGGGCCAAGATGGCAGAGTAGTCACATGCTTCCTGTGGTCCCTCTTACAACAAAGACCCAAAAAAACAAGTGAATCAATTATATTTGACAATCTAGGAGCCCTGAATATCAAGGCAAAGTTGAGGAACCGGACTGAGCGGCAGAGGAATGGAGAGATGGTTCAGAAGCAGCAAGGAATTGCCAGACCTGACCCAGTGCCAGCCGTCACCCTTCAGTCTGGATCCGCTGGTGTGCACGGTGAGGCAAGCAGTGGCACTCGGGAGGGGTTTTCAACATCGGGAGCATTCGACCAGCAGAGAGTCTACTCAGGCAACCAGAACCAGGGAAAAGTGGCCCTCAATCAGTAAAAGATAAATACATGCATCTGACCTACTGCGTGGATCAAAAAACACCCCCTTTGGAAAAAACCTCTCTCCAATTTACCTGCTCCCTCCCTGTTCTGCCCCATTCCCAGGTCGGTTTCAGCAATTGCTGCATCCCCAGGCTGGAAGTAGGACCCATTATGTGCCCTGAGCCATTCTCCTCACCTTGGAGAGGGAACAAATAACCAAACAGGAAAAAATAATTTGCCAGCTCCCCTAAATCAGGAACTCATGGTAGGCACAGCTCCTTTGCCTAGACACAGGCATAAGGGGTATACAGACTTTGAATGCCTTTCACCCCTGCATAGACCTGTGTGGGCCCATTTCAGCAGCATGCACGCTCATTAGTACAGTACAACAGAGTATATACCTGAAGTTTAACTTCAACTGTATCAGCTATATGGTGGAGTGGCAGGTTCATGACATTTGACACCACTCTGCTTATTAAGCACCTACCCACATCAGGGGCCTGAGGACTGGTGGCTCCACCAACACCACCTAGCCACCTGCGACAGGGGTCCAAGAATAAGTGGTGCCTTCCAGTCCTTATAGCTAACAGCACAGGGTGTCCATAGTTTGGCTGCAAAACCCATCCACTTACGTGCTCTAGGGAACAGGTACATACTTTCCTCCCAGACACTCATGGGCAGCCATCAGCCCCCTGCCTTACTCACTGTGTGACCCCCTACTGCAGCCAGATACCTGTGCCTACACCAATCACGCCTACCTGTCTAGGACTGTAGGTGAGAGCCTGCACAACTCACTTGGTGACTGACTACCTGGACACAAGAGCTGAATCCATAAAAGAAAAGTAAACAGATTCCTGGGCTCAAATACTTAGTAACAGATCTGAACACCTGATGACAGGACATTAGAGCTTCAAAGGGACCAACAATCAAATTAGCTCACAAGAGTAGACTATTTGGGCATATCAAAACAAAACAAAACAAGAAGCTAGGATGAGGTAAGCAAACATAAAATAAACACGTATAATAAACTATTCATGAATCGGAAACAACAGTCAATATTAAATCACGTAAACAGGCAGACCATGACAGCTTCAGCAAGCCCCCAAAACAAAAATTCAAGAAATTTTTCAGTGGAAGAGAACTTCTTGGAACTACCAGAGGTAGAATACAAAAGATTAATATACAGAACCCTTCAAGAGATCAGGAAGGAGATCATGCAAAATGCAGAACAATCTAGGGAACATACAGATAAAGCAATAGAGGAAATTAAGAAGATTAGAAAAGAGCATAATGACAAATTTAACAGGCTGCAAGTATCCATAAAGAGCCAGTAAACAAAAATCCAGAAGATTAACAATAAAATTTCAGAATTAGACAACTGAATAGAAAGTCATAGGAGCAGAACTGAGGCAATGGAAGTCAAAATTAGTGAGATTGAAGATAAAGCACTTGACACCAACTTATTTGAGGAAAAATCAGATAAAAGGATTTAAAAAAATGAAGACACCCTAAGAATTATGTG